GCCCACCACGGGCATCGAAACCCAAATTCTAGCGTTGTAAGTCCGCAGACATACCGCTGTGCCACTGGGGGCTACGTAAGTTAGAAGAAATCGGAATTTAGCAATTTAAACTGTTTAAACGTTTTAATTAGATAGATCAGATTTATCAGATATATAACGGCAAAATAAAATTCAAGAAATTGTACAGCTTTATAAGGTATATTGGAGTAACAGAATTAACATTAAACCATAATTCAATTTTACAAGACTTAAGCTGTTATTATAGCAGTAAAGACATAATTACAATAACAGTTTTAGTCATAGCTCATCTTTACTATAATTATTAGGTTTTAAGGTACAATTTGCAGCAAAGTCTTGTTAAGTTTATTCTTAAAAATAGTTTCGTAATGACGTTAAGGGTTATATTTCTACTATTTTAAAAATTATCAAAAGTCTTACCTCTGACGTCGGAACATAGAATAATGTCCTCTTTTTCTCCGATTTGAGAAGCCAAGCCCATGAATATCTCTTCCACTCCAGACTCTGGTAGAATAACCTAACCAGAATCAAATTATTATATTATAAGACGTACGTTTGGTAGCGCATTAATCCAGCTAGTAGAGTCTTGTTTTTCTCATTCAAGAAACTAACACAAAAATATCACAAAGGCATACAGGAATTACAAGTCCGAAGACGAAAATTAAATTAACAATATTTACAGCTCACCTAGAGCTTTGCAAATGTCCTGCTCTGTGAAAAAAATATCGTTCATACCTCTTTGACGTTATAATCAAAATATAAGTATAGATTCATGGGTTTTTTTTTGTGTAAAGCCAAAATGACGTGAGAGAAACGTGTGATACGGATTATTTCTCAACCAGTTTGAGTACCCCTTAACTCGTGCACGACCTAGAGATATTAAACAAATTAGAGAAAGAATATAAATAATTAAATGGATGGATATTATGGAAAGGTAAAAAAAAACATATTAGTGAGAAGTCGAGAGTGCAATATTCATGTCCTGATATTTTGTTCAGAAAATAAAGACCCCCAATTTGCATCGTACCTAATTTCATTTCTTGAAAAAAAATTCATTAAATTATAAGATGAGACAAATTGTCATTATGGCTATACATTAACAATTTGGCATAAGCGAAATTATATATATAACTACAGAAAACATTAGTAAGTACATTGATATCAACAGGTCATTCCTCACCAAAACCTTCTACCTGTCTACACTAGTGACCAAATTACCAAGTAAGGAAGTATTTTTATGAAATGGCTTTCTTTCTGGAGTGAGTATCTATTTACTTATTGGTAGGCTATATACTTCAAACAAATACCTATTATTTAATTCATAAAGTTCCATAGAGTGTCGAAAAAAAATCCAGTAATTTTTGAAAATGCTATTCATAAACTGTCTACTTACGTCAGACTCCCACCAACTGGAACAAAGTCGTAACGCAGGATAACCATTTTGTGTCTTCTTGAAACTACACTGACCGTCCCTGAAAAAACATGTATACATATGACAATAGTTACTGAGAGTTATTTGTTCAGTGATAAACTTTGGGATCATTTCTGGATTAACTGGTAATTCTTTAAACATTTTTTAGGAAACCCAAAAAGTCAAATTAATATATATATATATATATATATATATGCGGCGGTTAAAACAAATATAGTACATGTAAAATCTAACCCAATAAGTGGGAGGAAGACGTCTGAATTGAATCTGATCCGACCAAATTACCAATCCAGACAAGACGCGGAGGCCCAGTGAGTCTTACCAAATTCGCATCCTAAGGTGGGATACCACAAAAGATGTAAGGCTAATTAAAAAACAATAATTAACATCGTTTTCCGTTTTATGTGTCATGTGAGGAAGCTCAATTTATCTATAATGTTTCCCAATCATTCTGTGACACATATAGATGTACTTATTACTAGTACTGTTTTTTTTTAATATCGTTTAAGAATTGTTTACTTGGACGCTCTCTGTGTTTTGTATCATTTAGGAGTGGTTTATTCATTGCTACTCAGTGACTTATAATATTATCCCACATGAGGTTATTATTAGAGTTTGCTTAGTAAAACTGTTACTTTATTTATTTGTTTCATGTGAGAAAATTATACACCATCACACTTTTTTTTTATATTCATAACCAATTTGTAAAGAGAAAACAGATGAAAATAATAATCAAAAGGCAACATTTATCTTTGCTATATTTAAATAGAAGTATGACAAATACAGCAGAAATCAAATAACTCAGATTGTGCACTCTGTTATTTGTTATTTACACTGCCTCTACCTAAAACGCGTATGTGTTTAGAAAACCAGCTAGTGTAATTAGTTCCAGATTTTTCTAGGCCTAGTTACAGGTGTGAATTATTACAATGCTCGAGGCTATACAACGATGACCTGATTCTGAAAGCGAAAGTTCTGTACTAAACTTAAATTGCTATGATATCGTACAGAATTTCTACAGAACGAAGCAAAATGCATTTTGTAATCCGATTGACAGGAATGAAAATAGTTCATAGTAATAATGCTCTTACTACGTAGAGAACACGATCATCCAATGCATATTTTGTTGTTATAGCTCATTTTTCTTTCTTAACAGCCACTCGTTTTCTTATAATCTTCTTCACAAAATAAAATAGCACACAGAGCAAGCGGGAGGTGCTTGTAAAAACTTGCTGTTCACCTACCCCAAGCATTCAGGTAGTATGCTTTCAATTTACTAAATAATCACCGTGATTGGATAAAGCTTAGTATCTACGTTACTTAACGATATATTTTCACCAATTACGTTTCTAATTTTTTCATTTTATCTTTCTGATTTATATATACACTGCATTGTACTGGAAGGGAATAATTGTGTTGTCTCTGTCTTTTTTTTTGTTCTATTATTTTGCAATCTGTGCATAAATGGTTTAGAATTCGATGGAGCCTGGAGATAATAGGATACCTTATCAAGCTCATGTTATAATGAACACTAGACGTAATATTATCACTGGCGTAGCTAGGGGGGATACCGGCCATGGCCTTCCCCTTTAGCTTGTATTTATAATTTTCCCCAGTTTTTTTTTCCTGCAATTCCTGATTTCGCTACGTTTTATGTTTTTTAGCTTCAATTTACATCTAGCTCCCTCAAACTCCTATTCATGGTTTCCAAAATTCCTACTCCAGCATGGTCGCGATTCGCTGTAACTGAGTGACGTCATCAAAGTGGCATGTTATTGGCTGCTATTTTCAGTGTGCACACTGACATCATGAGCTATGATTCACTTCGGTTGTGTGAATCTAAAAGCTGTAATTATTTTCTGAATAAACTTGCTGATTCATCTTCATTGTGTTTTTTATGGTAAATTCTGTCTGTATCTACCTGCAGCTAGTAATTTGGGATCTCACACCTTAAAGTCCTCATGCTATAACACTCATTTAACCAATGTAAAGGAAATAATAAAGTTTAAATATTACAAAAATAATAGAAATTATCCGCAAATGTAATGTTAAGAATTGGACCCCTTTTGAAATTCCTGGACACGCCACCGAATATCATCATATTTAACCAATAGAAAGTAATGTTAATAGTAAGATCAACGAAAAATAAATTAAACACAAGAAGAAGAAAAACGATAATAATTTTAAACAACAAAAGGCTTAGCTATCAAAAAGCTTTATGATTATAGCAATATCATGAAAATATTAAAACTAAGTTCTTTCAGCAGTCGTAAAAAAGCTGTTTTTTCTGTATAAAAATTTAGAGTAAAATATCGAATTAAAGTTCTTAAAAGACACGTTTCTTACGCAAAGAACTCATGTTTTTGTGTTTGCTTTTTCCCCCCTCACACATACATAGAATGGCCTACTTCAGATCAATTCCTAGAACTCATTTTTTTCTTCACCTATGTAAAAAAATTTGAGAAAATTAAAAAGAAGAAAGTAGGAGGAAATTTGCTACAACAATGAAACTTCTAAAGTGCACAATCTGCAAATGAACATAAACTTCAGTTTTTGTTACACGTTCTTTTGTGTTTTTTATCATTAGATATTAGTTCACTATCTCCGACTTGTAATAATATATGTAAGTATGGAATCTCCATAGACAGTAAAAACATAATACATGCATTTACTACTTATACGTCTTTACTATAATTCATACAGCTTTCAAAAGAGAAAGGGACACGCATTCGGGTCTTCCGTGTGCGGCTTTAATCCACAGAACTCTAAAGTATTAAGTGTATGCTAGATGTACTTCCGCAGGGTGCATGAAGATGTTCTGTTTCAAGAGTAAATAAAACCAAAATTAATAGTAACAAATATTTTTATATTTTGCTTTTGAAGTTCATATGTCATACTGTATTGTGGCCTTTAGAGTGCATTATTCTGTTCTTGATTCATGGCACGCGCACGTTTTATTGACGTGACTACAGTACAAATTGCAACATTAAGCGTCCCTTATGTGACGTCATTTTAGTGTCTATTGACTGATTGACAGACAACACACTGCTGTATAGTGGTGTGAGTGGTTAAAATAGGTGACCCCCTCCAGGCAAGAATAGAGGAAATGCACTATATTGTGCTAAACTGGTCTGTTCTTACTTATAAACGAGTCATGTTTGTTTGTTATCTAATTATCACAATACATTTCCATTTGTTTATGACATTGACCGCTCTCTTTATAAGCATATATATATATATATATATATATATATATATATGTTACTGTATTTTTCCTAGAACTCCACGAATAATATATATGCTTAGTTATTCTTTCTGTTCTTGTGTTATTTTACTAAGTGGCATTCTCAACCTAAGGGACGTTTTATGAGGCACATGGGCTAAACGCCAGATCAGGCAAAGTCGTCCCTAATTTTGAACTACTAATCAGGAGGACAAACGTTCATCAGCACTCGCTTCCTACTTGACTACTCTTATTAACGGAATAATGCATCCACACCTGAAACTGTGGAGCATGTTCAGTGACATACTGCGAGCTCCAACCTTTGATCTTTCAACTCGCACCCGGTACGCTAATTTTGATCTGGCACATGTTTAGAGACATATTGCAGGCTAAGCCTTGGACCTTCCAATGCACAAGCCCAATAAGTTAACCACTACGCCACGCTCAGCTCTCGTTGAGGGAGTTAAAAGCAACAAAAGCCTTACTAATATTGGCAGCTAGCATATTGAGTGAGAAAAAGGCTTGTAAGTACGCATACGTCTACGATATCCATTTACACGAACTGAAACTATCTCATTCAAAGCCTTTGTCAATGTCAAGTGAGAACAACCAAAACCTATTATTCTGTAATACTTATTATTGTTTTAAATGTTTCCACGATACTGGTCAGCATATTATAGAGAAAATAGCGTTATTATAATGATCGTTTGTTGTTTTACTTCATTCTGAACATTTCTGGTGCATGAAAATAAAGTCTAGATAATTTGCTGGATCCTTAAAACTGAGTTCTCAGAAATGACTTCACAATACATAAAGCTAAGTGCTGAGTAAATAAAGTCACTGTGTAACTTGTGTGACGTCAAATGTGCCTCCTCAACACGTGTATAATCTAAGGCAAATAAAACAGACAATAAAACTGTTTCCAGAATTTAGTAAATTAAGCGAAAACGTGTCCAAAATGATAGATTATATATATAGTATGTCAAAAAAACAAGAACAAGAATCTCGTTTTCTCCATGAAAAGTTACATTTTCAAGTTCTAATCGTGAGTCTGGTTATACTTTTACCTAACATATATCTATTTTCCTCTCTGTTGCTGTTCAGTTATACCTTCCTCAAAAGGCCTTACTAAGTATGCTTTCTTTTTTCGTTTTTAGAATTTTCACGCAAAGCTACACAGACTACACTGATTTTGATTTGATAGCCTAGAGGGATGGCAGCCAGTCAACAGTACTCAGCGCCAACTCTTGGACTACTCTTGTTGGACCGAATAATAGGACTTGATCTTCACTCCTAAAGTGCATCTATAGCCCAAAACTGCCGAGAGCGTCTTAGCGACAGCGAATTTCGAACCATGAATTCCAGGATTCACAGTTCTCGCACGTTAACCCCTTGGCTGCACCCGAACCTTTAAATATGTTGCATGTAGTCGTGTCAAAATAAATTCTTTTATTGCTGTAAACTACGCAATGAGTGACAAGTTCATAACTTTAATGGATCAATATAACATCTTCTCACGTGCGTTGGAAATCAATGAACAAACCTCGTGCACAGTTGGGTATGTATATGTATACCTTTTTCTGCTTCTCCAAAGTAAACAGCAAGCTTGTAATACTTCGGGAATTTCATAAAGATATGATCTTAGTCTCATAAAAAAAACTCTGAATGTATAGATAAAATAAATGCTATAATGAATCTTTTTTTTTTTTTGAGGGGTTGAATATAAGATATCAATTTTCACACTTAGATTCATCTTTTGTTTTTACTTTAATCTTTCTATCTCATCTCTTCAACTCTTATCTCCAGCTACCAAATTCATTTTAGAACCTTTGTCTCATTATAATGTGTCATTATTTTAGATTAAAAACTCAACTCACTTTACGGAAATGGTAAACTTCGAAATTTATGGAGGGGAGAGGATGTTTCCCTTCTGTGTTGAAGATGGAGGCTTAACTCCCCCGATACAAAGTCTAAGCTGTGTAAGAGAACGTAAAAAACTACGTGTCGGATACACATTTCAAATCCTTAATTTTTCCAGATCAACATCATTTTCATTTTTAAAGTATTAGGATTTTTCCAGGTTATTTGCAACGCGTTGTGAGACCGGATGTATCAGTAACCGCAACGGCACTCACAACTCACTTGCTGTGAGTAAATATTACTCTAAAATATCTGACAATAAAGCATATTTTGTCCTAGACTGATGCTTCAATAAATATCATCTGTTCCATTATGACAAAGAAGTTTTCCATACATACACACCACCACCGCTTCGTTTATTATTTGGAACAACACTTCAACCATCTAGAACTATGTACCACGTAGCACAGCGTCTCTCCCCTTCCCCCTTTTTATTTTCCTTTTAACTCAGAAAAACTTGTCAATTACTCGGGATTTCTGCTATGTTAACTACTAGTTTTAGTAGTACGAGATGTTTCTATCACTAAGATAATTATTTTTATTCAAATCATTTTGAAGAGGCAATAAAGTATGTTCGACATTTGTTCTTTGCTGATACTTTTAGTCTTCTTTATTTATTTAGACGAGTAGTTGTTCCACCTTGCCATTCCTATATCATTGTATGTGTAGTACATGTACTGCACTTGTCTCATAATATTTTTAGATTGACCTCTCAACAGCATTTCTAGCTTGACATTTTCATCGTTTCTGATAAGATAAAAATCATAAATGTAGCATACACTACAGCAGCATTTCCCAAAGTGCGGGAAGCGCAAATGGTATCTTTGGGAGTGGGGGGGGGGGATTAGGGTAGAGTCAATAGTGCAATAATGCAAAATTAAGCCTAAACACACATAGCATATTAATGTTTATCCTTGTGTTACATTTCGTCTCGTAACTCACTGTTTCACTCATTAAAAAAAAAAGCACTTGCACAAGAAGCCATATTTATTAAGGAGGGGGGGGGGGCGTGGATGACAAAAGTTTGGGAAACGCTGTAGTACAGTGCTACATTACATACACAGCGTAGTCACAAGTAAATAGACACCACCTTCTCAGAAAAAAATGAGATTGGCTCGGGCAGGGCAACTTCTGGATACCATTTTCTTCCTGCCACTTTTTGGGTGTTTCTAGCAGTGTGACACGGTGCTCCATCTTCCTGGAACAACGTTGGGTTCTTGTCCACGAAACCCGAAGAATGAAGTGGC